CACCTGCAGTATTGAATGTTACAGAGCAGTCAGTCCACATGGATATCACACACTGATGCTGCAGACAGTGGGACATGTTAAAAGGAAGACATGATTCTATATTTTTATTTGAGGAAAGAGTGCATTTGTTTGGGACTATTTTCAGTTGTGGATTAACACACATTTAGTGCTCTAGAGAGTTAAAATAATCTAAAGTGTGTGTTCATGCTAATTGATGTATTTTTTGGACAACAATGAAGCTCTATGGCACAGAGGAAAAAATATATGAGCCTTTTTTAGAGCTGCAACTATTAGTCAATTATTGTTATTATTACAATTATCAGTTGTCAACTACTGAATTAATCCCCAACTTTGTTCTTGTGTTATTCTGGCTGGGTATTTTTTCACCTTTTGTAATTGATAATAAAATAAAATAAAAAAATCCTCACAAAAAAAAAAAACATTACTCACCTATATTTTTGTTTTGTTTAATTTTCATGGTTATTTGAATGAATGAACAACTAATTATAAATTACTCAGTACGTTATTATTTCATTAAGTAATTGTAATGAAATGGTATGTCTGTGTGTTCTCAGTATTAAGTGCGTTAACTAAAAAGTCAGCTAAGAAAAAAATGATCTCTGCATTAATGATTTTCCAATTATTCATTCTAACTACAGCAGGCTGAACAAATACAACATGAAGCTTCACAGTGAGCAGCGGAGCGGCTCGGCTCGGCTCGGCTCGTTATATAATGCCGCTATCAGGAGCTATATGGCGCTTTGGTGGGCGGGGCACTCCTACTGCTACATACGTACATTCAGATGCAAACCTACAAATATTGGCTCTACGAGGCTCCTTATTCTCCCTAACGTCAATACATATCCGCAACAGCACACCTGCTCTTGCACTCCTTCACTACAGACCCAAATAATGAGTTAAAGCAATCCAAGTGCTAACCCGGTAGGCTGATGGAAGCTAACTAACGTTAGCTAACTTTACTAAGTTAAGTTAACGTTAGCTAATACCCATTAATCTATCGGCGTTTGTTTGCTGAATACATTCCAACTTGTTTACGTGGCAACGTGAGATGAAGCACAGCAATACCGTGAACCAGAGAGAGGTTAACACTGTGTCAAACAGCCTGGGAGCAGCTGGTTGAATGAAAGACTGCTGAGAGAAGCGGCTAACAAGCTAACGAGCTGCTAGTTAGCTAAACTCGCCACTTTTGGATAACGCTCAGTATCCTAGCACCCTGGCGGGATGTACCGCCACAATGCGCCGCAACGCCGACTCACTCTAAGCTCTTATCAGCGTCAAAAATGACCAGTGTGTAAGAGGTTACATACCCGTTTTCTCACAGCCTCAGCCACATGTTTTTGTTTGTGTCTCCCTTCTTTTGCCGCGCACTTCAGTCTACCCGAAAATCACTTGCAGTGTGTCGCCAGTCTACGTTTGCGTAACAGAGCAGATCTCATAACGACGTGGAGGTCGCTGTCAACCGCAGTTGAACCTAGATAGGCCCATCCGTATAGTTATAGATCTTAACCACTGCGCACGCGGGTTCCTCTTGTGTATGCTGGGAAATGTAGTTCGTATTATGTTATTCGCACCCCAGCAGAGTCATTAACATACAGGAGTCGCGTCATCTCCGTTTGCTCCGGGGGACCTGCTTTTTTGTGTGTCTTTACAGCAATGGAGCCTCACAAGAGTTCCCGGAAGTTAGCTTATTCTATTAGCAGCGCAGTAGAGTTGCAGCCGAAAAGACCATTTGTGATGGACAGGTCAGTTTTGTCTCTGCAAACTATATGGGAACCCTTTATACTATATACTTTATACATATTAACTATACTATATACTTTATACATATTACACATGATCATTATATACTTTATACATATTACCATATACTACATATACTTATAGCATATTACAACGTAATATACTTTATACATATTACATCACGTATACTTTATCATATTACACATATACTATATACTTATACCATTTACCATTAACAATATACTATTAGTTATACTTTACCATGATACTATACTTATACAGACGTATAGCTTATACATATTACAATATAACTATATACTTATACATATTACACATATATTATATTATACTTTATACGTGCTGGACATGTATACATTGCATATCTAAACAGCAACCCAGAACATGAGCAACGTCATACTTTGTTTGCTAACAAAACGCTGCTGGATGATAAAAAACAAAGACCAGGCTCATCTCCCAGCCAATTTCCTGTCTAAACCCTGTATGGTGTGTCTAATCATCCTCTGTCTCATGTCTCTGTCTCTCTCTCTCTCCACCAAAACCACAGGGGCATTCATTGAGCATGAGAATCCCTGTGCAGATGAGACAGAACCTCAACCTGCACCCTCCATCATGGTATTATTTAGAGGGAGGGAAAGGGAAGGAATATTTCAAAATGTAATTAGGGACCGAGCACTGACCAGTGCAAGGCCCTATTGTAATGCAAGGAATTATTATTATATATTTTCTCCGTCATTGATCGGCATATTTGGCGGTCGCAGCATGCTCAAAAAGTCAGGGAAAATTGCACAAAATTCAAACTGTTCGAGGAACTCGACGTATGAAATTGTCCCCGTGCACGGGCGCCGCAAATGGCTAAGCCCCGCCCCCCGAATCAGCCCTCAAGACGCGTAAGGTCGACACGTACGAAAACCGGTACGCACGTGTATCATGATAAAAGAAGCAGAAAAGCCTCTTGGACCCATACCTCAAACCAACAGGAAGTCGGCCATTTTGGATTTAGCGGCCATTTCTGGCGATTTGCGCACGATGTATTGAACGAACCCTCCCAGGGAATTTATCAGATCGACTTCAGATTTGGACACAGCCATTTAAACACATTCACCATAAAAGTTGTGCTATTTACGTTATTCCGTCGAACACCGTGGACGTGGCGTGGGCGTCCCGTGGCGTCCAATTTCGATCCTTCGCCATAAAAGAGGGATTCGTCATAACTTCTGCATACATGATCGATCGCAACGAAACTGCACGTTTGATAAGAGTCCCGCCCTGAACATTTCTATGTGAAAAATTCAGTAATAGTGAGAGCGCCACCTAGTGGCAACATAAGGTATCACGTTTTATACTTTCATGTTCTACTCCTAGCAGGATGATCAGATCCAGCTG